CCGGTTCATAGATTGACACTCAACCACTGAGCCATGCCAGCCGGGCCCCAGATTTATCTCCTAGTGAATTCTTTTAAAAAATATATATATTTTATTAAATTGTTTATAGAGAGGAAGGGAGAGGGTTAGAGAACTAGAAACATCGATGAGAGAGAAACATTGATCAGCTGCCTCCTGCATACCCCCTGTCGGGGATGAGCCCGCAACCAAGGTACGTGACCGGAATTAAACCTGGGACCTTTCAGTCCGCAGACCAACATTCTATCCACTGAGCCAAACTGGTTTCGTCCCAGTGAATTTTTAAATGGTTCCAAGTCACCCAGTTTTCTGGGCCCTTGTGTTATTTTGGGAGAGAGCTGACCACGTGTGTTAATAACTGACAATATGGGGTGGGGCAGGAAGGAAAAGGGGTTTTTGCTTCTGGCACCAGGTGACTGCTTTTCCAGGATCATTCTAGAGAACAGGTTCCCTTGTCTTCTGTCTGGGAACTGGGCTTGGTCACTCTCTGCCTGAAAGAATACTGTCTCAAAATTTCCCTTTCTGGAGCTTTCGCCATGCAGCATAGGACCACTAGAAGCCTGCGGCCCGGGCTTCTGTATTCAGCAGGCTCCCCCAGGCCATCTCTTTTTCTACAGACGCAGCCGCGACGGCTGTGGTCACACCACAGCTCCACTGCAAGATGTTACTTCCATTGTGTTTAGCATGGCTGGTTCCCTAGACTCTCCCCTTAAATGGAATACCGTATTTTCCGGCATATAAGACGACCCCCTAATTTTACAGTTAAAACATAGGTTTAGGCCTATATTCGCTGTATAAGACTACCCCCCACTTCCGAGGCAACACCAGTTCTTTTTTTAATAGACCGCCTCTCTGACTCTGGCCAATCTGAGCAGGCTTTTTACTAGAACATTGTGATGCTCTACTTGTGATGCTCCTACTTGGACTGAACTCGGAGCTCCTGAAGGACGCAGTTGAAAACAAGTCTCATAAATGGGAACTGCTTGCACGTGGGCCACGAGATCCATTAGAAGCCAGGCAAGCTAATCGTGTTAGCCTTGGAATTTGAAGGCCCCTGCTTGGTGTGGTTTCCCTACATCTCTACCCAGAACACTGCGTGGGAGCAGTTCACTGAACGGTTGGTGAAACCAGCGTGTTAGCATTCTGTGGAGTCAGAAGGCATCTCAGACATGAAGTGCCGCCTCCTGTTACAGAGGCAGCTGGGCCCGGAGCAGTGAAGTCATGCCCAAGGTTGGGGGCGGAGCTCTGGATTAGCGGCCCCACTGTGTGCGGGTCACGGTGGGCGGGCGCTGGATCCAGGAGGTTTTCCTGCGGGACGCTCGCCGACGCTTGGACAAACTGGACAGGATGCCTGGGGTTCTCTCCACCTACAGCCCCCCAACCCTGTGAACTCACACCATCCGGGTTCGATGGGCAAATGGTTGGTTCTTTCAATGTCTCTGAGGAAGGGTGTCCTGTTGGTCAGAGCACCGCTACCTGATCTCCTGAGCACGGTTCCATCTCACAGGTGAGGAAATGGGGCCATGAAAGTCAGGGTTCCTCTGCGTTCGGTCCCCCGCTGGGATTTGAATCCGTTTCTGATCTCTGAACTTGGCCGTGCCATGGGTGGGGTGGGCTCTGGGGGAGGGTCTCCTGTGAGAAGCACCAACTGCGGGAGGACATAAAGGAAGGGTAGGTGTGACGGGCAGAAATCTGGGACCTCCCTTTCAGCCTCTGGCAGCCAAAGAATTAATTTCCACATTGTTTCACCCCAATGCAACACTGGGTGCTACAGTTCCAGATTCTTCCATAAGGGGGACCAGAACATCAAGTGGGAAAAGGATGCAGTGAATGGTTTTAAACTGTTTCTGGTTTGCTCATGGGGCATAACTATATATATATCAAAGCACTTTTCCAAACGGGACTTAGCTTTCCCCGCACTCCTGCTTCTGCTCCTTGCTTATGCCATGGCTGCCATCCACACCTCCCGCAGAGGCCATCAAACAACAAGTCTGATCATTGAACAATCAGTACATTAAGAGGCCACAGGTGGGGAGTGGACAGGGGGATGGAGCTGCAGGCTGTGTGTGTGTGTGTGTGTGTGTGTGTGTGTGTGTGTGTGAGTGTGAGATAGGCATTCAGAGAGAGACATATGGAAACATTAGATGTTGGTGAGAAATAAGACAGACTACACCAGAGGCTTTGCCACTGACTACCTTAGTGAAGCCACTTAGCCGTGGCCTCACCTGAAAAGCAGGAGGTGATGATGACAGTTCCCACCTGTGGAGGTTCACGTGGGATTAAAGGAAGGTGCACGTGCATGAAGAGAGCACATGGGCAGAGTGCACGTGGGCAGAGTGCACGTGGGCAGAGAGCACGTGGGCGCACGGTGAGAGCCGGCTGCCGCTATCCAGGGAGGCTCTGGTGTAGGGAGTGTCCAGCAGCCCTCAGCCTCCTCCCCTGCCGAGCAGCCACTGCAGCGCTCCGATGTGTGAGCAGCCCCCCCCCCCCCCCCCCCCCCGGGAAGCCCGGCCTGCTGCTGCTTTTTGGGGAAAGACTTGCTCTCGGAGTTGGAGGGCAGCCAGGGCCGCTCCAGCCTGTTGGACAGCCGCAGGCCAAGGCTCCCGGAGCGGCACATGGGCCCCACAGGCACAAGCCAGGCCAGAGCAGGCTGTGCAGTGTGGACGCCCATGGCCGGGCTGTGACCTGGAGCATGGGGGTGGAGGGGGCCTGACAGGCAAGAATCTGTCTCTTCTCCCTGTCCTGACACTTCTGTCCCGGGCATTGTTCAGGGCCTGGAAGCCACCTCTTCCTCTTCCCTGCATTTCCCTCTGGCCTGGCTCTCCTCTGTCCCCCAAAACTCAGCTCTGGGGTTCCACCCTCTCCTCAGGAGCAATCACAGCCCCATCCAATCTCGGCAGTCTGTGCTGGCAGTTCTCAGAGCAGCTCACACCCTGCGGCCCAGGACATCAGCACCTGGGCGGCTCCTCCTGCCCGGGGGTCTTCTCTTTCAGAACAGTCTGCTCTGTCACATTATTTTCTAAGCTTCCCCGAAGGACGCAGAGGTCCACTGCACTCTGAAGGTCAGGTTCCCTCATGAGCAAGAGCTCAGACGTCTGTCCAGCCTCCCCCAGACCCAGAAACGCCCAGGCACGCCCCCTGGACCTGCAAGGGGGTAGGGGGTGGGGGAGAGCTGGGAAGCTTGCGCTCTGCACCCGGAACTGCTTGGACATGAGATTTTTTATTAAAAATGCCCATTCTAGAGGCAGCCAAACTGAAGAATCCGCAGGGCGGGGCACACAAATAAACGCAGTAAATTAGCCGTCAAGAGAAACCAATGCTCAGAGGCAATTCTTCATTCTTTCCACCCCTTTCGGGGCAGATGGGAGGGAGGCTTTGGGCTGGGAGCAGCCCAGCTGCTGTCATAGTGGCCAGAGCAAGATCATCTCAATGTTAACACAGCCGTGGGCGGGAGGAAACACACAGGCCACTTCAGGTCAATGCACGGAGCAGAAGTCAGCCCTGCTCTTGCCCTGGGATCCCCCTCAGCGTTGGGCAATCTGAACCGATTCTCCCTGAAGATGGGGAGGCGCCGCTTTCCCTGTCATCTAACATGCCGAGCCAGACCCACCTCCCGTTCCTCTCTTTTCCAAGGAGGCAAAAAGGACACGTGGCCACCGCGGGCCAGGCTCTTTGTCCCGTCTCAGCCGCCTGCACTGACTCAGGGCTGTCAGCACCTGCTCAATGGAGTCACCTCACTGCTATCTCCTCCCTTGGCCGCATCAGAACATCCTGAGGGAGAAAGGTTCTCTCCGAAATAGTGAACATCACCACAAAGTGTAATGATGGTTTCCAAGGCTGCCTGCTCTGTGTTCTGTTACCCGTCATGCTCTTTTCTTATCAAAGGGCCAGCCCCACTTTAGCTCTCACTTTGTCATGAACTCCTCACTCAATGAGTTCCTTCTGGATCTTTCTCTCTCCCTCTGTTCACCTGGAGAAAAAGTCTCAAAAGCACCTGGCGGACACTCACCTGAATCTGACAGGTACTTGTTAGAGGGGTTTACTCCAACCTCAGGTGAAAGATTCCCAGTGTGTGGGTGAGTGGGAATGTTCTGTTCAGATACCAGCATTTTACTGGAAACCCCTGCACTGTCTGTCAGGAAACCAAGCCTAGGATCCGCCGGGAGCAATGGCCTCTGCATTCCTGACGAGGCAGCCTGAGCGGGAGGGAGCCGACTTACCTTGCCATCATTATCTGGCTCAGCCTTGTTTCTTGCCATCAACCCCAACACATACCTCCAGTCCTACCGAGCTCCCGTCCCTGCCACAGGCCCTGCCCACGCCTCACAGCACCTAGAAAGCTTTCCCACCCACTTTGCCCAACCCTCCTGCCTCATCTAGACTCGCACCCATGCCCCTCAGGTCAGACAACTGTCCCCTCCCCCGCAGAGCTGCCCCAACAGTACTCCCAGCAGAAGCAGGCGTCTGGGTCCTCTGTCCCGCTTCGTTCCAGCCTCACAGAGCAGTTCACGGACCACAGCAGCGGGGCCTCCCCTCGCCCTCTGAGCATCTCAGTGCCCAGCACAGGCCTCAGCAGGCAGTGCTCACACCTGGTGTTTGCAGTTTTGGGGCAGCATGATTTGCTGAGGCTAATATGGAACTTTGATTTATTCTTTGCCTCAGGAGAAAGCTCTTTGGCTTTGGACAATCATCATAGAACCTTTTGATGAATAGACTGACCTATAGCACAAAAATGTAAATGCCCTCTCCCTCAATACCCTCCCACTGGGCACTCCTGTCTTTCTGTAGCCTACAATCTTTTTTTTTTTAGCAGATCCACCTCCACCCAGCCACCTAAAACCACCCCCACCAGTCAGCAAGGCCAACCTGCCTTGTTTGCCATGAGGTTATCTCTGGCCTTCGACATCTTCGTATGAAAGCAAACCTGAAAACCCCAATATTGGCCATTGATCATGTTGGAAGAACCAATGAACAATCATAGCTTGAGCCAATTTTTTTTTTTTTTTAATTTTTCACAAAGAGCTCTAGAAGGCAAGTAGTAGTTTTTCATGCCCTTTCCGGAAATGACACAGCATGACGGATAGGGTAGGGCGCTGGGAGGCTGGCGCTTTATCATTGTCCAGAGTCCCTGCAGCGGCCCAGGGACCCCACAGCAAGGCCATGCGCCGTGTCCTCTGCAAGCGTAGTCTCTCAGCCCACACTCGGCAGCACCAGCACTGCTGAGGTCATGATCGTCTGTCCAGAAGATTCCACCTCAGATCCCAAGATCCAGTCCGGCATCCAGGTGGGGTGTGATGGCCAGAGGCAGAGAACAGGTGCCATGGCTGAAGGCAGAGCTCTGACAATGCGAAAGTCAGATGTCTTGACTGAAGACTAGAAGGGAGGCAGGGGGAAGGATGAGGTCCAGGAAGCCCTAGGTTGCTGAAGAGACAACTTTTGAAAGGAATGCTGGCTCTGCAGTTTACAACGTTCACAACAGAAGAATGTTGCTTGGGATTCCAGACCTGAGCAGGGAGAGGCAATGGCTGGGCTAAGAGAGCCAGAACTTTCTTCACAGTAGAACAGTCCTAATCTAAAATTCTAGAATTTAAGACCAATGTCTTTTAAGAATGGGAATTCGGAAACCCATCAGACCAGCTGATGGAGGCAAAAAAAAAGAAAAAAGAAAAAAGTTCTCTATTGAACAAAACCACACAAACAATTCAATCCTCCTCCACTCCCAATACCCCAGCCACCTCCCACCCCATTAAAAAGGATCATGAACATTACACACACTCGCACACACTAAAATACACAAACAAAATACAAGACACCCAAGGAAACCTTAGGGATTATTTAAGGAGCTTTCACAAACTCTCCAGATGTTCTTCCTGTTTTGTTTTGCTTCTAGAAAAAAAAAAAAAAAAAAAAGAGTCAAGCTCTGATGGTTTGTCTAAGCAGTAAAAACCGAAGTCAGCCAAGACCCCTTGCCTCAGTTTCCTGGCTTATCAGTCTATGTAGAGGGATATCGGCGGTAATTCAAGATGGGAGGCCAAAGGCTGGTGTTCTGTGGAAGGTGAGCTGCTTGGTCCTGCAGCCGGGCCCTCACCAAGGAGCATTTAGCTGTCACACACAACAGTCCTGCCCACGACTCTGCTCCAACATCAGGACCCTGAGGGACAAGCTCTACATTTTCAGAGGCAAAGCTCTACTGTTGGCACAAGAACATAAATCTGAAGTAAACCATCAAGAGATTCCAAGGATCACAGATGGTGGAGCTAAAGAGATGCTGCAGTCCAACTCCGCCTTCAACAGAAAATCACTCTATGGAGAACGCAGAGGTTGTCTGTCCACATCCTAACTCCACCGGAAGCTTCCCTGGTGGCTGGCCTCAATCAGTTGATCAAACTGTTGTTTCTGACCAACGTCCTTCACCTGGATCATTTGTTTCCAGATGGTTAGACTCTCCCACTCTGCACCAGTCTGCCTGGGAGATGTGGGAGAACCAGACGATTGAACCGGTGTGTCTACACTGACTGCTCCCAGGGTGCCATTGTGTTTCGTCTTCAAACACGATAAAGCTCAAAACATCTGTTTCTCTGCCTTATCATATAAATATCTCCCCCCACTTTGTAAAAATAAATAAAACTAGACTGAAACTTGGGCAAGGGCAGTTGCTGCCTCTTAACAGTAACTCATGGAACTCACACCTGCAGTTCATCCCCATGCGGGGTTGGAGGGTCTGACATGCTGAAACCCTCCCCCCTTATATATTAAATTTATCTTCATAAATACAGCATCTTAATTCCAATGACCACAATAAAGAGGCCAACGTTTGAGTTATTTTTCCCCCAAATAGTTACACAAACCCCCAAATATCAACTAAGCTACCCACATGGCCCATTGGAGACTCATTATGAGAGCTCCTACTGCCATGATAGTCAAGGCCAAGGCTCAGACAGACCCAACACAAATCCCTGCTGGACAGCAAGGACTCTGATAGAAAATTTACTCTGCAATAAGGCTCATGACAGAATTCCTTTCAACAAAAAGCCCAATTAATTTGATTTTAAACTATTTGATTTCTCCCCACAAACTTGTTACCTATACAAGTTTTTTAAGGCCACATCTATGACATGAAGTGGGCTCACTAGACCAATAGACGTGGCCTCAGTGGGCATGGCAAGGTTGCTCACCCATTCACTGATGTGACTTCCTCTTGGAGGAGTCTCTGAGCCATACTTTTCAACCTTAATGTGACAACCAGCATCATTGGGTAATGAACTAAAGGACCAGGTGTCTACATTAAAGTTTATCTTAATGGGTGCAATAAAGCCTATCTTCTAGCCATCTTAGGAAATTTGGGTTTTAATTTTCTTATTTCTCCTCCCCTCTCAAAAATATATTGATTCTGATCAATCACTTTGGTTTGATGACTGGGACCATAGGAAGAAGCCGGAGCAAACAGATGGACAGCCCGTTAGAGAAACCAAAGGGTGGTGGACGCCGGGTAGAGCCTTCATAGCTCGTCCCTCGAAGGCACGGTGTCCAGGGAGGTTGGCGGTGGCAGGGCCTCTGTGTTCTTGGCGTTGTGGTGGATGTGGCCTTGCTTCTGGGACTTCCAGGAATGTGTCCTGTCCCAGTCAGTGGCCACTGTCTCGTTGTCCCAGATGGTCGAGGTCTCCGTGTCACTCAGGTACCCCGGCTGGCCTGTATAGTGTGTAGGGTAGATGAGCAAGGGCTCTGCGGAGAAGGCTTTCAAGTTCCTGGATTTGTAATGCTCTTTGTACTCCGCTCTGGAAACAAGAGGTGCACAGGCGTGAGGGGGGCAGGGTGCTTACAGAACAGAGGGAGAGGGGCAGGGGCCCTGCTTGTTACTTCTTTAATGGTCAGGGGGGTCATATGACTATCTTTTAAGTTGTGTCCTCTGTGGAGAACTTTGGTCTATAAATACAATAAAGGTTCTTTAGAAGCTTTAGGGTGACCTAAGCAAATACACAGAAAAAGTCAGGATATTTCTGTTGTATTTGGATGGACTAGTTCAGTGGCCGGCAAACTGCAGCTCACGAGCCACGGTTTGCCACTCAGTTGACTAATGAGTTTGCTGACCACTGCGTAAGGCATTATCCCTACCTAGAAGTTTTGACTTCAGGTTAAAGACATTAGTGCATTATTAAAATGTGTTTGTTTTTTTTAAGTGTTTTTCCCTAAGGCAGTATTTGGCAAACTCATTAGTCAACAGAGCCGCAGTTTACCAACCGCTGGACTAGTGTTAAAATGAATTTCAGCTCTTACTCTGAAAGTTAAGAATTGAACTCTGTGTGGGACTGTAATAATACTCTGTAGGAAATGCCCTGTTGCTGGATTAATAAATTAGCAGGATCTGGACAGCAGTGAAGGAGTTAAGTGAACTAGCATAGGCTTGGAGGCAGGCCAACGTGGCTTTGTACTGCAGGTCCATGTGAGATGACCTCCCTCCCAGGGCTCTGGTGTAGATTATGTGAGACCACATCTGCTCAGCTCCTACGTCAGTGAGTGCCTCATAGGTGTTCCTTTCCTTTCTGTTAAGGGGATGATGGTTGACCTCCCTGTTTCTTCAGGATTCAGAGATAAAGTCAGTCTCTACTATGTTGTGTAAAAGCGGGCAAGGAGATAAAATGAGCGTGATGGAGGTCAGGAGCTCTTAACCGCTAAAATGAAGACCATCTCTGTGAGGAGATAACCCAGCAACTGAGGGAAGGAGCCAAGGTTAGGACCTGGTCTCCCGCTCCATTAAGGAATTTAGGAATCATTGACAGAACAGCAAATATGTAGAGAGTTTGGCCCACACTCTAAGGACACAGAGATGTAAGACTGTGCCTACCTCAGGGGCTCACAGGTTATTGGGGAGACTGACAAGTAAACCATCAACTACCAAACCCTTTGATAAGTGTTGGTCAGAGCCAACTCCTAGGCTACACAATCCCTGAGCATCACACTGCCTTCTCCCATGGATCTACCCCAGAGCCCACCTGCCTTGCCCTGATTCTCTAACACACCTCCATGATCACAGTTTGCACAATAGATCATGATAATTTCTCATGGGCCTGCGCTCTTGACTGCCTGCCCAACAGGACCCACTGTGTACTAAGAAATGAGCTGAAAATTCTGAGATGCTTAGGAAGATGACCTTCGCCTTGAGGCGTATGGGTTTATGGAAGTAAGGACATCAAAGACAAGGAGAGGACAGAGCAGATTATGTCCATTTGAATTGCACATGGGGTATTAAAGGAGACCCCTGTGCAAGACACCATTTCTGCTTTAGCTTCCCCATTATGGGATAATCACTCGAGTCAACCTCCCTGGGTCGTGATTATAGTACACTGTTAGAAAATACCAAGTACTGCCCAGAAACTGAGGAGGCTGATTGACGAATGCACTGTGCTCATGGGACAGTCAGGGAGTTCAGGGCAACTCACACAGGATGCTTGTTGTACATGATTGGCAGGAACTCGTCTACTGGCAGCATCTTCCCAAATGGATCAGCTCCCACCAGCTTGTGTGCTCCTTCCAGAGAGAGGGCATAGCCCAGCGTCCAGTAGGAGTAGTCGGCTTCGACCAGGTTGACCACGTTGGGCACCGCCTTCTCTGGCTCTTTTACTTGCATCCTCTTCCTACCTATATAACTGAAAGGAAGCAGGCAGAGGAGAAAATTCCAATTGGAATACCAGGCATCCATCGCAATGGAGCACAGCTTTGTAGACACTTTTGAAAGCTTGGACCTAATATGCTGACTGTATATTAAGTGCATTAGGCCACACAGCACATCACATCTGCCACCAATCATGACTGTCCTCAGTGGGACCATTTCCCTGGCTCCATTTATCAGCATCCCATCTACTCTTGTCTAGGAGACAGTGTTTATGCCATAAAGTTAAGATGTGAAGAGATGAAAGGTCTTTTCAGATCATTTCCCAAAGGTGGTATGGGGTTTCCCACTGTGTTTACAGGGGCTGGCAGGGGACACAAAAGGCCAGATGTGAGAATCCTGTTTATGTTCAAGTCCCCCAAGTTTTAGCCTGCTGTGTTGTCTGCAAGCTCTCCAAATGCTGGTGGTGAACACATGCCAGAACAGGCTGGGGAAGAGGCAGTCTGCAAGAGTGGCCCCCAGGAGGCTCTTCCTGGGGAGGATGATGCCAGAGCCTCACATGCCCCTAGCTCTGCCCACACTTCCTCCTGCGAGCTCTGCTCTGAGACAGGCACCTGAGTGCATGTCCTGTTCTCCAAGAACATCTCAGCAGCTGCTGTCTGACAGAGAGCCAGTCACCCTAGTGCACTGTGCTGACTGCTGGGTCTCTTTCCCACGGGTCAGTGGAGCCTCTGCTAGGTTGCTTTTGAGCTCAGAATGGTGCATTTTCTTTTCTTTTTTCTCCTTCTTTTAAATGTATTTTATTGATTTTTTTTACAGAGAGGAAGGGAGAGAGAGAGTTAGAAACATTGATGAGAGAGAATCATCCATCAGCTGCCTCTTGCACACCCCCTACTAGGGATGCACCCGCAACCAACGTAAATGCCCTTGACTGGAATCGAACCCTGGACCTTTCAGTCCGCAGGCCAATGCTCTATCCACTGAGTCAAACTGGTTTCAGCAGAAGGGTGCATTTTCTGAGAGAACAAGTACTCCATGTGGGCCCATAGCTCGCTTTCCCTCCAAGGAGGGGAGGGGCGGGGACAGCCTGTCTGGAGCAGGTGCTCCAGAGGAACAGGCTCTGGTGATGGGATGGGACTGCCTGTGACACACAGTTGGGAGGAGAATGCAGGGCTTGGGAACTTTCTGCCTCATGGAGAGAAGAAAAGTGTCATTTGGGTTTAACAAGAAAATGAGAGAGAGGGGGAAGGAGGAAATAGAGAAGGGGGAGAGAGAAAGAGAGAGAGAGAAAGAGAACTCAATTCCAAGAGGTGGCAGACAATGAGTATTAACCCATTGTTAACTCATTAATGTCAGTGCAGAGCCACTATTCCCTTGTTGAGCCTGGTTTTCCTGCAACAGCCTCTGATCTTCCACCAAACCCAGCTATCAATGTTCTCCCTGCTGCCCAGCTGCCTTTCCCAACAGAGAAGCCCTCCCCTTGCTCAATCTCCCACAGAGGGAACCTGCTCTACTGACCCAGGACTCTTGCCCTGGAATAAACCCCCTCCCTGGGCCACGGGCTTCGAGGGTGGGGTGTCTGCTCTGCTCCCGAGTGGGTGCTCTGTCTGAAGGCCCCTGATGTGCAGGCTGACTCCTGGTCTCATACAGAATCTCCCTCAGCTTCTTTCTCATCCTGCAGAGCACACATATGCAGAACCAGTGGCTATCCTCTGCTCCCTTCTTTGGTTTCTGGTAATGTTTATGGAGAGAAAACCAGTGGAAGTTTGAGGTGTCTCTCCTACTAGTGGGGGAGGTTGGGCTCGCTGCCCCTGGAAAGGACCCAGTGCCTCTCGGAGCATTCTGATAAATCTGCCTTGTCACTCACATCAGTTCCCAATCCAGCTGAGCCTGGTCAATGTCATCCATCAGCTTCATCAGCTTCTTCTTAAACTGATGTTCAAAACGCACGTCATCCTCAATAACAAGAGTCTTCGCCAGCTCTCGGTCAATTACCTGTGAAGATCATCAGTGGGAAGACACTCTATAAAATGTTCAATACTTATTTTTTTTATTAGATCAGTATTAAAATGCCAGGAGTTTAGTAGCATATGTAAAAGCTCATAACTGGATTCCAAGTCAACAGTAGAATGAAGCAATAGATTGTGGTGTATTTATAACAATAAGAATGTATGCTGTACAATCAAATTGAGTGTTCTAGATGAATCTCGCAAACACAAGGTTGAGGATATACCCTATGGTTTTATTCATATATATAAAAAATTACAAAAGAAGACAAAACAATTCTTATTGTCATTAAAAGTCAGGATGGTGACTACTGGGGAAACAGTGACTAGAAGGAAATGTAGAGGGGGTGCATCTGTGGTGCTGGCAGTCTGTTCGGGATCTGGGTGCTGGTTAACATGGGTGCATTGTTCAGTCTGTCAAATTCCATTGGCCCGTGTTTTTATAAACTACATATTTTTATACATTTCTCTTATGTGTCATTTAAAGTTTAAAGAAGGAAAAAAAGATAGGCCTAGACTGGAGCATTCAAAGAGAGAAGGCATTCAAGAGGCCCTTCGTCAGAGCCTTTTCCTTTTCTTGTGAGCATTGAACCTTGATCAAGAATGCCACACTCCATTACCACCCCCAACATCTGGCTCTGCCACTTCTTGCTTAGACAACATATTTCTTTCCTCTCGGATAAAATGGGCCCATCCCTCCTGACACATCTCATGTGACTTCTGTGGGTCTACTTGTATGAAGTCACTTACTAAATGATGACATGCTAGACACATACAAGGCATCCCTCCTAACGATGAGAATGCATCAGCAGGAGTGTGGCCCTAAGAGCATGGGCATCTTCCCCTGTCATTGTCCCAAAGGGCCCAAGGTTACCCCTCCTTGCCTGTGGCTGGCTTTGTGTCAGAGGAATACACGGAGCAACTGCAACTTGCAAGTGTACTTCCAGAATAGTGATGGGCTCACCTTGCATCTGGCCCTCACTTACCCACAAAGTCCCACTCTCCCTCCTCCTCAGTACAAAGTGCACGTGTACATGAAGCATCATTTACCTCTTTCCAGACAGAGTAGTGGCTAAGGAAGCAGCCAATTTCACCCCTGGTCAGAGGCCTGGAGGAGTAGGGGTCTCGATACCCAGGCAGCATGTCAATGTTCAGGGCCTTCAGCTGGCTGGTGTTGAGCGCCCTGCGTGACACAGAACACGTCTGAAAATGAACAAGGCGAGATGTCCCCACCACAGAAGCCAAAGAGAGAGAGAGTTCTGCATGTTCCCCAGAGCCTTCACCCACACTGAAAAAAATGTCCCAGGTTTCCCATAATTCCTTAGGAGCTCCCCGAGGTTCACATGTCCTGGGGACTGTATGAGCTTTGTGGAGAGCAGAGGGTGTATTGTAGTTGGTGTATCCCTCCCAATGCCCAACATCGCTCTAAGTATCATCACTTTTTTTTTGACAACTTTGAAAAATATTTTCTTCAAGAAGGAAAGTTGCTCGTAGGAACATTAAGTACCCTTCCCAGCCCTTGGGTTCTCTGCTGTGGGTGTCCCAGCCACACTTCAAGAAACACTTATAGGATTCTCTAAAGCACATGTGTCAAACACAAGGCCCGCGGGCCAAATCCGCCCCGCCAGGCCTTGCAATGTGGCCCGCACTGCGCTGTCATCACTGCACTCCGCTGCGTTTCCATCACAATGACAGTTTATGACTGTTCAGTAAACCATTCGGCCCGCGATTTAGGCTGGATTTTAGATTTTGGCCCCTTCTCTGATTGAGTTCAACACCCCTACAGTCTAAAGGAATCATAAGTCCTCTCACTACAGCTTCTAACCATCTTTCTTAGAGGCATGCATATAACATTGGAACTGCAGTGTTTGCAAAATCCATGCCTTGAAGGGGGGTGTCAAATAAAAGGTCAAAGCAAAGCAAAAGAAAATAACAACAGTAATAGCAAACCCCCCTGAAGGGAGCTATCGTGTGCCCCATATGACTTGCCTGCCATTCTTGGGAAAGTGATCAGCCCAAACCAACTGGCCAGCATCTCATGCAACAGCATACACAGACCATCATGAACTTTTCCCATTCATTTTCGTTGGGTCGCCCAAGTTTACTAGTAGACACTTTGCTCTAAACCAGGCTCTGAATGCAACTCTGAACGCATTCTTTCCAATATACTGCAGGAAGCTGGGGACCACTCTGACCACCACAAGAACTCCAGAGATGGGAACATCACTTCTGGCGTGAGCTTCAGCATCATGAAGACCAGAGATGGCTGGACGGTGAGTGGGCTGTGGTCCAGATCTACATGGTGAAATTAACTTCTATGCTACTATAAGTTATAATGTTTCCCCAGGTAGGCTGCACGGGGCTGTTATAAAAATGCGTCTATATTCCAATGGCCACAGATTCTCTTCACCCAGAACTACTCCATTAGGTAGGACATGTCCCCACTCCAACCCCATCTGCAAAGGTCTGAGAGAAACCCAACTCACTTTCCATCCACAGCCTCCACGATCTTGACCTCAATCTCCTGCTCATACAGGGTGCGTAGCATCCGGTCCCGCCGGTCCTTCCTGCGTTTGAGATTTATCATGAAAATCTAACGCAGGGAGAAAAAGAGAAGGAAACACAGATGACTCAAGTCTTCCTTTGGGCTGTTGGAGAATTTAAATGTAGCATCAATGTTTTAAAGTTTCAGTTAGAATAAGGAGTGGAAACTGGAGATTTGTGACATGAATCCAAATGAAATTACTTTAAAAACTGAGCATTTGTGGTGATTTAAATCTCCCTGTTTCTCTGATGTTCATTGATGAACACCTCCACCTTATTTCTGAGATAGGAAAGTTGAAAAATGTTGTTCTCCAGGAGGGTAATGGTGACTTAAATGTAGGCATAGGCACTAAGGGGTGGGAGGCATCTTGGCAAGTGGTTACATTCATCGGCAGACCTGAGTTCCCATCTTGTTATTTACTAGTGTTTGCCTTGGATCAGTTCCTCTGCCTCTGTTTCCTCATCTGTAAAACTAGGATAATAACAGTCTTATCTCACGGGTACTAAGTATCAGCTATTAGTATCATGTATATCCTCTGTCTAAATCTAAAATCAAGGAAGAAGAAAAATCTAGACTTAACACATTCCTTTTATTTCCAAAGGTTCCAAACAAAATGATCAAGGTCTTAATTTTAGTAGCTTCTGGGTCAAAATTCAACTTCATTAAGACAAGGGCATTTTTCTGAAAGGGGTAAAGGCCTCAGGGGCAGCCCTTTGAGGAAGAGAGAAGGGGGAAATGGAAAGAAAGGCTTAAGTGAAGGCTTAAATGAAACTCTAAATTTCCAGGTGGATCTATGGGAAAAGGTATAGAAAGGACTCCTACTGGTCCCAAAGAAGGTGCACTCAGATCATCCCCCACGAGGGCGGGGTCCACCTGTGCACCCACATTAGTCCCTACATTCCTGATGGCTGCACTAAACACATACGTATTACCAGACCAACAGGAAGTTTCAGATAATGACGCTGTCCTAACTATTCCTAGGCTTAAGGGGCCGCAGAAGGACCTAAAGCCTCGTGAATGCTATTTTAGGTAAATTAATATGTTAATAAGGTCTCTCCTATGGGCAGTAATAAACCCACTTGGTCCTCAAAAGGAGGGAAATGTCAGCTGCCAGCAAGAAATGATTGACACATAGCATGGAAAAGGATAAACCTAAAGGAGTAAGTCAGATGATGCTGGCTACCTCTTTAACCATCGAGATGATATTTCATGTTACAGGGTCCAGACACTTGTTTGTAAAGAGAGGGAGTTGAAGAAGCTCATCTCTCAAGTCCAGTTCAGAGGAAACCATCTACGATCCACGCTTTGTAATAGGGTTGCTTTATGCTATGTCCGGAATAAAGAAGTAACTATGACCAGCTTGCAGTTCAGACTAGATTGGGTAAAACTTTGGTTCATATGGTCATTCGGAGTGTGCTTATTGATGTTGTATGATTTATTGGGATACAAAGCTACACTAACTGAAATTTCAACTCTTCCTTAACAAAATATTCTCATTTCCATCCATTTATAAACCTCTGGGCAAAGAACATGAAGGGGAGGGGAGGCATGATGACCTCTTTAAAAAATCATTCACTTGATTTAGGGCAAATTGTGTCAGGCGCGTCATGATGTCATCGTCTCCTTTGTTTACCTAGCTGGGTAATTATTTTTTAACAACACAATTTCTATGGTGACCATTTGCCTTGGTACTTGTGATTTTACAACTTCATGGGTGGTGTTCTTTCATATTTCATTCTCTTCCTGTGTAGACTCATACTGTGGTGGGCCATATTCCATCCCTTAGATTTACAGATATAGAAAGGGCATTGCTTGTGGGTACACAAGGAGCTACCTGCGGTCACTCCAGGAGAGCAAACCACAAAACAAAACAAAACAAAAAAATGAACAGAAATACAAAAAAAAGTCCCCTCAAACCAAGGACCTCTGGCCTGGGATGACTTTAGGAAATAACAAGCCTGTCCCAGTTCCTACCAGGACAAGTGCAATAAAAACTGCAGCACGAAGAAAAAACACAGACAGCTCGCTCATACTTAGAGCACAGTAAACAGAGAAAGAGCCACACAGCCAAGTGCAACCCAGACACCACCTCTGAGGTCGGAGAGTCCTGGGAAGATTGGAAATGCCCAACAAATCTTTTTTCCACCATCCTATTCAGGACAGAGATTACCCTGGGCCCAGGAGAGTGGAGTCCCTGAGGCTCTGTCACTTCCTAGAGTGGGCACTTTTCAGAAGGCAATGACAACCGACCCAGTCGTCACACCCACATCCAAATGTAAGGCCAGAGCTAGAAGATCCTGTTCCTGTCCCGTTTATTTGCTTCTGTTTGATCCCGAAGGGAATGTGTTTATAGAAGGAAGATGGACATATGTGAAGACACAGGATCTTTTACCTGGAGAGCCAGGAGCTCCAGGGGAGGAAAGCTACAAGGACACACGGGAGCCCCTCCAGTGCACAGGACAGACCAACGTTCTCGGCAGCACTGATGGTTTTTAAAAGCCATTTATACTTCCAGTCCTCTCTCCCACACTTCCAGTCTTCTCTCCTCATTCCGCCCTCTGTGGAAATTGCTTAGTAGTCCTCCTTCCCACTTGATATTCATGAAAGACTTCTTCCCATCCCAGTAGTTCAGCCCCCAAGTCCATTTTATAGACAGAACCCCATTTCCCAGTGCCAGCAGCTCTTTAAATGGCTGTGCTAAGGGAACATGCATTATATGATACCAGGTGATACATCAGGACTTTCTCTCAATGGAATAGCCGCAATGGGCACAGAGCACAAAGCTGGCCTGTAACCTATCCAGACTCTGTGAGAAAGCTTCCAGTGTGGGTCCCTGACTTGCCTTGTATTCACCAAGCTCCTGAATACAGGACACGAGGAACCATGAAGGAGTCAGTCACTTTTCTGGCCCTGCCAACTCTCCTATAAGTGGAGCATATTACTGAGAGGCATCTCTTTATATTTCTGCTTCCTTCTCGATGCAATTGAAACTTACTGATAAATGCGGCCCTCAGCAAGCTATTATGAAATTCTTGCCTGGGGAAAGGCAGAATTTTAGAACAGTTTCTTCATTTTCTTTTTTTCTTTGTCTCTCAACCCTACCCTCCGACCTTTTTCCTTGGAAGAACAGGAGAAAGAACATAAAGCTCAGGCTGGTCCAGCACAGTTTCCACCCACTTAGAGTCAGGTTCAAGTTCTCTAATCCCGAAAACATATATCCTCTTTACCTTACCCTTGAGTATTGATAAAAAGGTTGATAAAATATGACAATATTTTGGAAAATAACATCAAATTCACTTTCATCACTCAACAGTAGCTTCTTTCCGACTCCATGATAAATTCACTTTTACCATGATGCTCCTTTTTTAAGATAAGAAAATGGAGGCACAACAAAATAGTGAGTTATTTTTCCCAAGACCCCAGTGCCTTTTCAACAGCCAAGGCCGTCTTGTTGACTCCCAGACCTATGCTCAGGCCTGTGAGCCGATATAAACATACAAGCATGCTACACACTTGCACACATGTGCACACACACATAGGCACCTTTCCTACCTCATCAAATCCCATCTTGTCTGGGTATTTAGGGACAACTGAGACAAACTGGGAGGGTTCCATTGGAGGACGGTCAACTGGAAGACACAAGAAACACGCAGAGGACTTTGTTAGTGCAGGTCAGAGCACAGAACTGCATCCACACGGCTGATCTCTAGGAACACAACCTGTGTGTCCAGGGCGGGGACAAGCACTCAGCATCTCTCCAGGACCGAGTGGCTGCACAAGAACCCTGCCAGCCAGGGCCATGGTTTTGAGAGTACTTGTTTATATGCAGAGTGCAGTATTTGCTCCATTCCCCATAAGATTTATTGTCAGATACCCTGCCAGTACAGCCTAGTGGTTGAGTGTTGACCTCTGACCCAGGAGGTCATGGTTTAATTCCCCATCAGGGCACATGCTGGGATTGTGGGCTCGATCCCCAGTAGGGGGCATGCAAGAGGCAGCCAATCAATGATTCTCTCTCCTCATTGATGTTTCTATCTCTCTCTCCCTCTGCCTTCCTTTCTGAAATCAATAAAAAAATATTTTTTTTAAAAAAAGACTTATTGTCAGAGCATTTAGGGCAATGGATGAGGGTGAGGGCTCTCTAGTCAGATGACCTGGGTCGAGACTTAGGTTTGTGAAAGTCTGGAACAGCTAGGTGATTTCTCTTAGGCCCTTTCTTTGTGTGTAAGATCAAGATAATAAAAGTGTATCTTTAGGATGTTATAAAATTTAAATGATCCTGGCACGCCAGGCAGGCACAGTAAATTAACATAATAAATACGCAATAACGCTTAGCCCAGGATAACTTACTGCGGTCAATGATGAAAGGGTTCAGAAATAGGCCAGACTCTCTCAGAATAATGCTTTTCCTATACAGTTAAAATGGTCAAAGCCTAGGACTATTTTTATCCCAGCCAGGCAGGGTTAGCTACAGGTACACAAAAGGTCCTTTATTTCAATACAAACTCAGCTCTGAGGGCCAGCCCATGTCCCAGAACCTGGAACAGGGCTAACAAGGAAGTTTCCAGATGGAAGGGCCATCAGATCTTAACTCACAAAAAGTTTTAATTATTTGAAACTCAAAAAACAGACAACCTATCTTTACAAACAATGTATGTTAAAGATTGATAGCCATATTGGTTGAAAAACTTGAGAGTCTTGAAGACTTCTGGTATTGGACACATTCAAAGAACTCGTTTGGTTTTTCTTGAAGAGAGAACACAGAATTTAAAATGAAAGCTGGCCTGTGGGTTGTGTGAAGACCTATGGGTGATGGTCATTACTAGTGTTCAGCAGCATCCATTCTCCTCTGTCCCAGGGATGTGAGAGGAAAACAGTTCCTCACCCTTGAAGTTAGTCAGGACCATGTGAATTCCCATGGCTCCACTCTCCAAACCCCCTTCCCATCCCCAACCCAACCCCCACAGGGATATGGAGAAGCCACACATCTGGAGCAGCCCAGACTGAGGTACCCATATGTGGAGGGCAGCCGCCCAGGGAAGCTATCAGATCGAGGCAGACTTTGCACAGCCAGGAACAAGCCATTGCTGGATTGAGCGGAGGAGATTTGGGCACCGTATGATATATCAGCATAACTTGCCTCATCCTGACTGAGATACTGTCCAAAGGGCGTTATTTAACTAGCTTACCCTTCACTGGGACATTAAAGAGAAAGCAGCAGATTGATGGCTGTAGTTTCACTAAGGGCCAAGTAATGTGAAGTTCTAGAAGACAGTGAGACAGTGAGACAGGTTTCCTAAGCCAAACATTAGAGTTGGGCTCTTACATCAGCCCTGACCCATCCGTCCAATTTCATGTTTCCGTTGCCATTAGCAACCCCGAATGTTTTGGTCCTTTCTGTTCCACCTCATGCCTCACTAGTTGCTTTTAACATCAACCAATATTTATTGAGGGTCCACCATGTACAGAGTTAGATTTCCAAGAGAAAGAAACGTAACATATAAACTCCTCCTTGTTTATACCGTTGTTTGAGGAGCTGTCTAGCTCTCCCCCCTTGGACCTTCTTAGACTTGGGAGGAGGGTTATTTTTTTGAGTTACCCTTTCCACATTCTTGGTCTCTGTTTGGCACTCACTTGGCCTGTGTGGCTTTAACATGTCATCCAAACAGACTGCTTTCAGCCACTTTGCTTCCATCAAACATGGGAGGTCATTGCATTCATAGGAGAAGTGCTCCCCCAAAAAGCCCGAAGTGGCTGCCTCCTGAAAACCACCACTGAGCAAACATTAGAGGAATATGCCTGGGTTTTGCCACTGATGGCAGGGAGCTAAGCCATAGGAAAAACAGGAAATGATATGAGCCAGACCTTAAAAACTTGACAGTTAGGTATATCCCAGGTTGTTTGGGGCCATTTCTGACTCCATCATTCATAATTGATCTAGACCCTCATTGAGTCCCTCTTGAGACATAGTTCCTCCCTATACCAACATTTGATGCAACATGTTTCATTGGCTCTTGGATAGGTTCAAGATCTAGGAAGGAATAATGACAGCTATTGTTGCAGAGTTCTTATCACTTACTGAACTCTGGGCTACACACTCTTGGCATATGTAATCACATTTACTCTTTACAATATGTAGTGCGGGACAGCTATGAGTGTCCTTATTTTACAGATAGGGAAACAAAGGCTTAAATGCCTTGCCCAAGGTCACAGATCTGATAGAACTGATGTCTGAACCTAAGCCTGACTCTTGCACCTGAACTCTTAACCCCCAGGCTCTGCCCTGCCACCAAAGCCATTCCTTGGGAGTCCTTGGAGCCAAGTTAGACTTAGGCAATGGGTCTGGGTTCATAGCAGCTCAGTTAGCTAAGTCCTTGCTTCTGGAGCACCCACCATCCAGCAACCAATATACCAACCCAGGCACACTTGGAAAAGTATTTGAGAAATTATGCTTGGACCAAACCCTAATGCTTCTCTATAACTTCTCCTGAACTTCCATTGCTCTAGCCACCACCCTAGCTCAGGTGCTCATTCACCATGCGTGGGGTGTTTTAATATTTTTTAGACACTTACGTGCTCTTACTCTTGCCTCATTCAAACTCATTGGGCACACTGTTGTCAATATAATTTTCTTCCACAAAAAGAGCTCTGTTTTTGACCATGACATTCAAGTGCTTTATAATTTAAGTGCGTTCATATTCACCATGTCATTTTATAGCTTTCTTTTTTATTGTTGATCTTTTATAGAGATGAACACATTGAGATGAGCCTAGCTATAGACTTGCCCAAGGTCAAATAGTGAGTGATGGGAGGAGCTAGAACTCAGTTTTAGACCTTATGACTTCAGATCCAATATTCCTTTTAATATTTTTAATATTTTTATTGATTTTTAGAGAAGAAGAGAAAGGGAAAGAAGGAGAGATACATTGATGTGAGAATGAAATGTTGATCAGATGCCCCCTTCACCCCTCTACTGGTATCAAGCCCGCAACCTAGGCACGTGCTCTGACTAGGAATCGAACCAGCAACCTTCAGTTGCATGGGATGATGCCCAACCAACTGAGCCACACTGGCCAGGGCAGGACCAATATTCTTAATAATCTACATGACATTCTGTTGACTCAAAATATCACTGCTGAAAATGGGCACCTAACATTTCCATTATCTCATGCTCTGATTTGCAAGAGCAAACTTCTCATACCTCATACCCATTTACTTCTAACACTTTCATAAGCTCTAGCTTCCTGTAATTCACCCCCAAATTTGCTGTACAGGAAGCACACCCACAAATTTTTGTGCAGCTCCCACCATTCATTTCAAACTGTTTATCCCTCATCCTTCAAAACTCCCAGCTTCTTTGATGCTTATTTCATACCACCTAGCTCCTCATCAGGCCCCTTCAGACACTGGTAACTATGGCTTCTGACTCATGGTCTCACTGTTATCATTCTTAGAAACCTCAGCATCCATGTGGATCTGTCTAACAGCCTAGTGGCTCCCAGGTCCTAGACCTTAGTACCAACAACCATTCCTTCAGTGACCCACTACCATGCCTACACCCATCATGGCCTTCAGGCCCTTGCTTCCATCAGTATCCAACCCGGACCACATGGTTCAGCACTCTAACCACCCTAGTAAACACTCTTAAGTCTCTTCCATTGATCTTGTTTAGCAAAACTCCAATCTCGGTTAAATTCAATTGTCCATTTACACATACCGAGAAAATATACCGCAAGAGAAATTCACACAGTTGTTCTGACTGAGTCATTTCGAAACTATAACCACAGATGTCAAATTGGCACTCAACACTGCCAAATATGCAACTATATACTTCCATAGTAAATTTACTTTCTGTTCTCTGAAAGATATATTTTATGCCTTTTTCTTTTTTCTGAAATCTCCAACATCTCTCTCAAGCTATGGATTGGACTACATATATCATAGAGAAAATCTTCAAGGCCAAATTAGACCTGCCTTTTCCTTTGATCTCAAGTTTACAAACTCTGAAGTATCTGCACCCACACGTTCTGACTTCTACACATTGTCTACCGTGGGAGAAGCATCCCTGTTCCTATTTAGGACAACCTCTCCAATGTTGTCCTGGGTTACAACGCCTTTTGTTTTCTCAAGGTCTTCAGCCTTAACAATCATCTTCATCTCTTCTACATCACCAAGTTCTTATAATGTTCTCCTTCTCAGCACACACATATGCTAGAATCCTATCTTAAAAAATAACACACAAAACATAACAACCTCTGCCTTGATCTCTCACTGCCTTCCAGCCACCATCCTATTCCTCTGTTCTCCATCCCAACAAGATCCCACTCTCATCTCCCCTTTGTTCTCTCTTCAGCCCTCTCCAATGGGCTTGTGTCCCAATCGTTTCACTGAAGTGGCTTCTATCAAGGTCTCCAAACATCTCTATCTTGACAGAACACATAATCATTTCCCTATCCTCACTTTACTTGACTTTTCAGCAGCATCTGGCTCCTTCTTGAACAGTTCTCATTTTTTCCTTCCAGCTTTCTGGCTGTTCATCTCCCCCAGGGATCTGTCCTCCTCCCTCTCCTCTTCTCTTTTGATGTTCTGTTACTAAACAAGTTCACTCTGTTCCATGGCTTCAAATATTCTTTTAATTCGAATAACCTAAAATGTCTGTCCCCAGCTGGAGTCTCTTCCTAAACTCCAGACTCACAGGGCCAAGTATCTCCCAATCTTTCCATTCAGATGTTCAATAAATATCTTAAACTTACATCACCAAAATTTCTCTCCCAAATCTTTTCCCATGAAGCCTTTCCCACTTCATTAAATGGTAAACCAGTCCAACATCATGGGCCATCCTTGATTCCTTTATTTCCTCACGGACTGCATCCAGGTGTCTGTAAGTCCTGTTGTCTCTACCACCAAAACATCTCCTAAATCTGCTTGTTTTTCATCTCCTCCCTGCTACAACTTACATCCCAAACACCATCATTTATCACCAAGAGAGATATACTGGACCGCCTATGCTGTAGTGTCCATACCACAGTCAGAGTGACCTTTCTTATACATTAGAGGTCATTCTGACTGGGCTCACGTCCTATGCACTGCCCACATGCACACATCCTGTGCTCGAGTGATGAACAATTGAATGTCTTAGATCCTGTGTGACAATTCGGTGCAAATATGCCCTCCTTTGGGAAGCCATTTCCAATATCCCTCCCTAGGCAGGGTGGACTGTGTAAGGATACAAGCTTTGGAGACAACAAGATGGGTTCAAAACCCAATCTGTCATTTCCTTAGCAGAATGGATCTGTGGCAAGTTACTTAAACTCTCTGTGCCTCAATTTTTTCATCTTTAATATAGAGATAATGTACCCCTTTCATTGCTCTGTTGTAAGGATTAATGAGACAATGTACAAAAAATGTTTAGAAGCCTTAGCTGACTTGGCTTAGTGGATAGAGCATCGGCCTGCAGACTGAAGAGTCCCAGGTTCGATTCCAGTCATTCCCAGGTTGCAGACTTGATCCCCAGTAATGGGTGTGCAGGAGATAGCCAAACAATGATTCTCATCATTGATGTTTCTATCTATCTCTCCCTTTCCCTTCCTCTCTGAAATCGATTAAAATATATTTTAAAAGGTGCTTAGTACGGTATCTGATACATCATAAGCTATTAAGATGAAGTCATAATTATTGTTGTAGTTATTAGAATTTTTATATATATTAAACATCTTCCCCCAAAGTCTTCAACTTTTCATCATCTCCATTGTATATCTGCAGAAGTTAGATTACTTGCCCAAAGTCATATAATTAGAAAGCAGCAAAGTTAGAGTTTTAATCCCAACACAAAGCACCATTATAGCCCTGATGGCATCATGTGAAATGCATTTACTGTGCACCCAGCTCTCCACCTGGGAAGATGCTCCCTGAGGGAAAAGACTTAGTTATGTTCACATTTCACATTAGGGAAAGTTTAAGGATAAATGAACAAATGAATATCCATGTTTCAGCCAAGGCAGACTAATGGCTGTGAGACTCCAGTCCTGGGGCAGGCGAGGTGGGTCTGTTGTGGTCACAGTGGCAGTGGAACAAGAGCCATCACAGGCTCTTGGGTTACTCACTCATTGCTTCTATCTGCACATGGATGAGGGTCTCAACGTCGTCCTGCAGGGTCTGATGGGGCTTCAGGGGGATGGGCAGGTAGCCGTAGTGCTCTCTGTTGCAGAGGTACATCTGGATGCCTGGAGGACCCAAGAGAGGGACAAAGCTGATCAATCAGAAAATAACACTTGTTAGTTCTACAGTGATAACTATAAAAAAGGAGGCTGGACTGTGGTTGGTGCTGGGTTTGGCTCTGATATTGAACAAGTAGCTGTTTCAGATACTGTCCACAGACCTCAAAAATGCTCTTTTATTAAGAAAGTATAACACAACATTGGAGTCTAATAAAAAGCCTGGGCCATTCTTGAGCTCAGAGGAAATTGATTTTTTTCTCTCTAAAGAAAAAGCATAGTTGTGGTCTGAAATGAACAATCAAGGCATGAAGGGATCAAAAAGGAGGCAAGGAATTCCCGTTCCAGAGAACAGAATGGAACACGGCAATCCACCTACCGGAAATAACGAGAGAATGAGGAATAAAAATCCATATTTGATATGAAAGCAAACAGGAAAATCTGTAAGGCTGACAGATTACTAGGGCTAAATCTAGCCATATGTAGAACAAAAAATAAAAAGCAAGGACATTTAAATTATCCATGACTCTCTTTGGTTTTATTCCTTCTCTGAACAAGCTCCCTGAGAGCAAGTTCCCTGGGTTTGGCGTCAGCCAATGGACATGAAACTTCTAGAACAAATTCATAAAGAAACAAAAGAAAGTCTGCACCTCAAGTCCTGTGAAGAACCTGCCAGAAATATGCCACAGCCCTCTCGTATTCAACACCAATCTTACAGTCCCAGCTGGCTAGTTCGGAGAGTTATATTACACAGCATCCATATTCAACCAGATAGCTAGGAATGTAGGGATCAAGATGGTCTCCTAGGGACCCATCAGCAGACACAGTTTTGACTAATGAGAAGATTGCTTAATTAAAAGAATAAGTCTGCCAAGCTCTGGTCCATGTGTCCAAGCTTCTGACTTGTTAATTGCTAGAATCATCTATGCTTCCCAGGGAGAATTACCTGCACAGAGCCTTCTCTATTTTGTGCAGATGAGATTTTCTCCCGTTAGCAGGATGACCTGCCAGATCAGCTGTCTGGTGGCATTAACAGAAAAGAACAGGGAAGAAAAGAGCTTCTATCTTCCCTTTTCCTGACTCTGGCTGAGTTAGGGTTGGCCCACCAATCACTGTCACTTCTTTTGCCTTCACCAAGTGAAGTCACTAGCTCTGCTGTTTGCCCACACAAGGGCTTCTGGGGAACGTCAAGCCCAAAGTTACCTCTTGCAAGTCATGATGGATTCAGAAAGGAGAAGAAAAGTGATTTTAGGTTGCCTCTCAACCCTTCAGCTTTCCAAAGTTACCATTCAACTTTCCAAAGCTTCAGTAAAAAGAGGGCATGAGGCCTAGCTGAGCTATCCATCAAGTGAGGAAACAAGAGAGGCGTGTTCAAACATGCAAGGTCACACATATTTATTTTCCATCACACTGTCTCGCCAAGTTCCTGGATGATGTGGAAGATGAAGGAGGAGAAGGAAGAAGAGGGGGGAGGAAGAGAGGTGGAGGAGGGTTACAAACAACAAGGAAGATGGGACACAGTAAAGAGGACAAGAGAAGAAGGTCCCAGGTTGACAGTTGTGGCACCACTAAGAGTGTATCAGAGGCTCCAGGCCAGGCACAATCACCAATAAGAACAGTAGATAAATCTGACAATTCTAAAAACAAAAAACATTAATTCAAAATAATTATCTCATCCCTATGTTTATTGCAGTGTTATTTAACATAGCCAAGATATGGAAACAGCCCAAGTGTCCATCAACAGACAAGTGGGTAAAAAAGCTGTGGTAAATCTATACAATGGAATATTACTCAGCCATGAAAAAGAATGAACTCTTACCATTTGCAACATTCATGAAGGTATTGTGCTAAGTGGAATAAGTCAGTCAGAGAAATACAAAAACCATATGATTTCACTTATATGTGAAATATAAAGAACAAAATAGAAACAGACTTATAGATGCAGGGAACAGGCTGATGTTTGCCAGATTAGAGGGAGTTTGGGGGACTGAGAGAAAAAGGCGAAGGAATTAGGAAGAACAAATTGGTAGTTACAAAACAGTCACAGGGGTGTAAAGTAAAGCATAGGGGATACAGTCAATAATATTGTAATAACTGTATGCTGCCAGTTGGATACTGGAAATATCAAGAGGAACACTTGGTAAAATATATGATTGTCTAACCACCATTGTGTGCACCCAAAACTAAATAATGTTGAATGTAAACTGTAAAAAAAAAAAAAAAAAAAAAAAAGAAGAAGAAGAAGAAAGAAAGAAAGGAAGGAAGGAAGGAAGGAAGGAAAGAAATGATTGCAGACATATTTAGTTATAAAAAAAAGTCACCATTCTAACATAAGTTTTAGACAATTAGGAACTAAATTTTAAAAGGAAATGTGTTGACAACTAGATAAAGTCTATGAAGGAATCTAGTTCTCTCAGTGAAAGCTGCTTCTGGGCAAACAAAATTATCTTTGATGCCACACTTTAAAGAACTGTGCCTACTCACCTTATGAAGATACACATCATTTTCTTATACTCATATAGTACCTTAATATTGTAAATTGATATACTTACCTTTATTCTGATGAAAATTCAGAGAGGTTATGATTGGCCCAAGGTCATACAGTAAGTCATTAGTGCCAAACCTCCGTCCCTAAAGGCCAATGCCAAGCCTCTTTCTACCCACCCAGAATTTGGAAGCCGAGTCTGAAAACTAGTAACACTCTGGATTGCCATCGCTGCACATGGGGGGAGGAGGGGCCCTTTTGGTCACTACCAGTGATGTGCAGGAGGCAGATCACTCATGTCTCTTGCCTATTTTGACACTGAAAGATGACTGGCTGGCGCCAAACATGGTTCCCGTGGTCACAATACAGACCCAGGTCACTGGCCACAATGGGAAGTGAACTCCTGACCCTGCCCTCCTTATAGCCACAGAGACTTGCTCTCTTCTTGGGCTAGATGGGCAGCCATGCCCCAGTGCCCTGGTGCACTTGGTTTGACCCTTTCACTCATCACCCAAATGTGATGCCTGAAGTCCAAGCTTAAAGATTAAGGATCAAAGTTTGTAGCTAGATGGTCCTAACTGGGACACACAGACCCTTTATTTCCTTCTTGACAGCTAAAAAAATGACGCTCCAATGGATGAAACACAGCTAGAGAGCTTCACAAGAGTGAGAACAAAAGAATGCAGATCATCCTTCATCAAGACTCTTTCAAGGGGGAAGGGAAGTGCTTTGCTTTGGATCTAAAAATGGAAGAGCCCAGAAATACTCGATGAACTGCATTCATGTCTCTCCTGAAAATATTAATACTTCAAGACAAGTAAAAGAGCTGCCTTAGGACCACACCACCATCGGGGGAGCTTTTCCATTCCTCCAAATGACGGCAATTCTTTCTGTCTTGACACTTGGCCTGTTCACCGTTTGTACTACCCAACCTGTGCCTCAGCTTTCACTGTTTCATAACTATATTTAAGTTTCCACATGTAAAGGTCCTCTCTTCCCAAATACAGAGCCTAACATGATGCTAGGCACAAGAGGAAGGCCTAGAGCCCTGATCCCCTCACCTTCCTTTTCTCCCTCTCTTCTCCCCAAAGAGAGGAATCACCAAGCAACTTTGGGCCTCTGCACCTGCTTTCAGTGTCCCGGGAGGACCCTTGGGAAGCCTGACCAATAATGAATGAAGGCCGAGTGAATAGGACAAGCAAAGGGCAGAGCTGACAAATTCCTCCCCAGCTGGTGTCACTCTCCTAGCCACAAATCCAGTTCTTGGTTGAAAAGAATCATCATCATAATTTAGTGCCTGGCTCACCATAATGCCTTGGGCAGCGCTGTAAATGGGACTCTGTTAGGCAAGGATCATTACTGTAACTGTTCACAGTTCACTTTTCTTGGAACTTTCTTACTCCTAGCTCTGAAGCAAAGGCCTGGCACAAATAGAAGGAGCGTCTGCTTCTCATCCTGGGGAGGTCAGAGCCAATCACAGACCAGGAGGAAAGAAGCAGTTCCATTAACACTGACATAGAACCTTCAGGAAGACTTCCAACCCACAGGAGAACAAGAACCTTGATTTTGCCTTGACACAGGCCTGAAAATGCCTGCATCTGGCCAAAGCATCCCAATGGCCTTGGCAGCCAAGTGGGGGGGAAAATCAGCCTTCCACATTTCCACCAAATATTCGCATTCCAACCAACTCTACAACACAGCGAGTTTATTCACCACCTGCCTGGTTTCTACACTCACTTTGGCTAGTGGCTCAGCGACACATTTCTGGCTCGTTGATAATGGGACCTAGCTTCCGTCCTGAGAATAAAACTTTGCTTCGGGAACGTTCGGTATCTTCCTGTTGAACTGCTGTGGTGAATTACGTCCTCCCTGATGGCACATACAGGTGACACAAGAGAAATAACTTACATTCCTACTGTCTTGTCTTCTTTAAGAGACTTACACTTGCCTCTGGAAATGCTTTCCTATGGTTCAGGAAAGACTTAAGTCTGGCTTTGCCTGACCTTCGATGGGGACTATGGTTGACACCCCAAATTTACTCTCCTTCTTCTGGAGCAGGAGAACAGGGCTCTGGACTGCATAGACAACACTCTGAGCCCCCTTGGTGTTGTCCTGAACTAAGTTCTGGTCAATGGATTATGCATGGAAGTGATGTGTTCAGCTTTCAGAGTGTACCCTTCAAGGGGAAGACAGTGCCGTCCCTCTCTGGTTTTCACCCGATGTCTGGAATGCATCCCTAATAATAAGACATCTTGGATCATACATTTAAGGATGATGCTTCATGGAGGGTGGAGAAGCAATGGGGAAGGATCCTGGGTCCCCTGAAAATGTGTGGATTAGAGTCACTACACCAGCTCAGACTTTTTAAAGAAGAAATAATCTTCCTTTGTTAAAGTCTGTTTTTTTCTTTTTTTCTTTTCTTTTATTTATTTATTTATTTTTGCCAGTGTTGTTTTGGTCTCTGTCACAGTTTCTGATTAATAAAAGGACTCCTGTAATGAACAAAGCAATGCACCATAGAGAACCAATAACTGTCCAAGGCTCCCACCGCCACCACTCTACTCCTACTGCTCAGTAACAATAGCGGATTCTGGTCATTGATGCTCACAGGGACAGCAACCCAGGGGTGCTGGGGTGAGAACTGCAGCAATCAACTGTCTCTAATACTACTTGCAGATGACGCCCATTTTCTTACCAACAAAACTAAGAGGCTGGTTATTTGAAGTGTCTCCCTGTGGGTGGTGCCACCAATACCAACAGTACCTGCTTGCCTGCTGGAGAAGGCAAAGACTATGATGTCATCAAAGGTCCAGGTGTAGTCCTGGTGCGGGGGATAGAACATCAGCCTGTCAGCAGCTTCCTTCCTGAGGTCGATCAGGAGTGTGGAGTGGACCATGGGGACGGGAAAGCAACCCAGTCTCTTCCATTCTCTGATCTGAAGGTAGTCCGGGGTCCGTTTATAGAAGCCCTGGGAAAGAGCAAGCATGGAGGCTGAGTTCTCTGACCTGAGACTTTATCTTTCCTGCTCATCTGCTAGCCGATTCCTTCTAAGCCAGCATCCGTGAAGGAGAAGTCCCCATGCAAAGTCACCGTCATTCTTTTTATCTTGGTCTAAGAATTTGGATTGAGCTCAAGAATTGCTATGTACATATTAAACAATACTATAAGGGTCCTATTAACAAATAATTTTGGTTTCAGCATATCTCTTGATTTAATAATTTCATAAAAGTACATTTTATGTTGGCTTATGATTGAAGCATGAGTATGAAGAGGTGACAAAGTCAAGCAATGAAGGTGTCTGCCGGCCTGGGTTCAAATCCCGCCTTTGCTACTTATTGTCTGCAGGGATTGGTCACAGTACTCAACCTAGTTCCTCATCTGTAAAACAGAAATGATGGCCCTATCCACACCACGAGGATGCCTTAAAGATTGTTTATAATAGTGTTGGCACCGAGAAAGCATCACTGGCTGTTATTAAAATTGCTACATTACACTGGTTAATATTTTTAACTCAACATGCAGTAATGAGACCTAGAAATAGGGTCTTCTTCCTATGAAGCTACTTACTCAATATTCTGGGGAGCTGTCACTGCTCAAAAGAATTCCCCTTTGGAAAGTTCCTTGTGGGCAAGCACATAGGACAACCAATCCATTTACTTTGTGGTCCCATTTTCTGTTGTGATGTCAGGGCCCACACATTGGGTAATACAGCCCCTTTCACACCTCAGGCAATCCCTTTAGTGTTTAGACGTGTGTTCCAGCTGAGCTAACCCTAACCCTGACCATGTGGCAAGGCTGAAGCAGTGCAAGTTAAAACTTAGAGGATGTGAGGCTTACAGTGACTTGAACCCTAGTCTAGCTGTTGGATCTCAGCCCATGTTTGATCTCTTTGAGTTTCTTCTCATTGAGTGTAGAATGGATCATAAGTACTAAGGTCTATGAAGATACTTTGAAAACTGTGATTCATTATAGGAAGTATTATTAGTAGAATAATTTTTTTATTAGCTTTTAAGGATCATTTAATATCCTTAAGTTAGAACATGGGTTCTCCTAATACTTGAACTTGAAAACATTTTCCCCAAGGAATAAAGGGATTGCTGGTCTTTTTTTTTTTTTTTTTTTTTAATAAATTTCTTTATTGATTGAGGTATCACATATTTGTCCTCAACCCCCATTCCAATCCCCCACCCCACCCCCACTAATGCCCCCCTTTGTCCTCGACCATTGGTTAGGCTCATATGTATACACATAAATCCTTTGGTGGATCTCTCCCTTTTATCCCCACCCTCCCTCTGAGGTCTGACAGGCTGATCCATGGCTCCTTATCTCTGGGTCTGTTCTTGTTCATCAGTCTATGTTGTTCACCATTTCCTCTAGATGAGTAAGATCATGTCCTACTAGAAATATACTTATAAGAATCAAAAATGAGAGAAGCAATAATAGTTATGCTGAAAGGCATATGAATCAGTCTGTAGAAAGTTTCTTTCTGGGCCACCAATTCTTTTGAGACCCAATTTCAATGTCAAACAGTTACTTATGTGTACATGTCAGCAATGATATTTCAGTTCTGGATGGTGGGCAAATGGTGGTAATGCTGGTCTTTAAGCATGCATGTCAAATATAAAGTTCTAGACACCTCAGGCACAATATTCTCGGAATGAGAAGCTTGGAAATTTCGTGATGATGATGAATCCCTGAATATCTTGGGGGCAGGGAGGAAGGGAGCAGAGAAAGAGAGTTAACATGCCTCCTGCACAGGCAGAGGTGAAAATTGTGTCTTTTTCCCCCAACAAAGATTGAATGTTATTGGTAATAATTCCTGTTCACCGGCCAGACAACACCACCAGGGCCGCTCTGTTTTGGATGCTCTGGAGACCAGGCCCTGCCTTAGGCATGTGACATCTTTGACTGCCCTAGCAGAAGCCTGCTGGGGATGGCAGCCAAGTGTAGGGGGGCAAAAATTAGAATTGTCCCTAAAGTGTTCAAATGTTTACTTTAAAAAATCCTCACCTGAGAATATGGTTATTGATTTTAAAGTGAGAGGAGGGGAAGGAGGGAGGGAGAAAAACATCCATGTGAAAAACATCGATCGGTTGCCTCCCACATGCACTCCGACCAGGGGATCCAACCCATAACCTAGGTATATGCCCTGACTGGAAATCGAACCCCAAACCATTTTGGTGTATAGGAGGATTATGCTCCAACTGAGTCACACTAGCGGGGGGGCCAGGGTTTTTACTCTTACTGTGCAAAAAAAAAAGTGAGCAATTTCTCCTATTTGCTTTTCATAATGAAAGCAAATAAGAAGATAATTAAAACCTGGAGGCTGAAGTCCCTAGAATAATCCACCCTTTTTGCTGATGTCAAAGCATAACTCATTAAAAACAACCAAGTGATTCTGCCATGTGAAAACACTGCAGATCGTTAACTACAAGTGTGTGAATTCAAATGCACCCAAAGAACGTTCCAGACCAAGAACGGAATGACTCGTACAAATATGAACTTAATGCTTCCCTAAAAGAGATGTGGATAATAACGTGCATTCAAAACCTCTTGGGACTGCGGGAAATACTGTAACGAAAGAGGAATGCCTCGTGCAGTAGTGTGCTAGAGCCACTGACTGTTATGTTTTCAGGAACTGTGCAAGCCAGTTGACATGTTGATAGCTGTAAAAATAAAAATCAAGTTAATGCCCACCATCTAACAGAACCACAGATGTCAGCTCTGCATACTTTCAATAATTATCTCATCAAGTAGCTACACGGCAATTTACTTAACCTTTCCCTTAGCTTAAACAACATTTAAGTAGTCTGCGTGGTGGGAATAACTCACACCATGAAACCTGGCAAATGTTATCCATCAGGATTTTCCTCCCACAGAGAGCCAGTTATTAAACATTTATCATTTGGCCCCAAACCAAACAAAATATAAAAGAGGGACTCACAATTTTAGCCCCTTGGGCCCGAGACCACATTTAACACATACATATTTTTTCCTTAAGCACGTCTTTATTCTATTTTGACATATACAACCTTGATCAGTTTATCTCCCACATTTATTAACTAAAGAGTAAAAATATAACCAGCCACAAGCATTCGCTGTAACAGATCTCTAGACTTTAAAGACTTTATAGTGGAAAAGAGAGGTGATGGAAATAAAAGAATTCTGTTTTTAACATGAATTTTGTAAAAACAAGCTACCATACCAGTTCTAATTATTGGATCTCTTTAGAAATAAATTTGGCAACATATATCAAAGGTCATACAAATATTTATACTCTTTGACTAAGTAATTCCACTTCTAAGAAGCTATCCTAGAGAAATAATACTAAATACAAAAAAATTATATTAATCATGACGGTCCTTATAATAATTAAAAGTTGCAAACAACTTAAATGTTTTTAAACTAAGAGAAAGGTTAGGTTGCACTAAAGCCACTTGATATAGTTATTAAGGACATGCAAACTGTTACCGAAGATGTTAGAGTGGTGGGGATTAACATGATATTTTTACCTTTTTTAATTTTAAAAATTTTCTATAGTATTCTTAGAGTTAATGACAAAAACAAAAACCCCTATTAAAATTTTTTTAAAAATCTCTGAGTTAGAAAGAAACAAAGTACAAATCCCAGCAAGCTTTATTGGTTCATGTAAGCTTCTAAAGCTAAAGTCATTAGAATATTTTCTTCATAATTCATTAACTCAGAAGCACTCACTGGGTTGTGGCATTGGGCCTGGATTTTCCTGAAAATGCTTGGTCTGAAATGGCATGCATCTTTCAAAGGAGAAAATGAGAAAAAGGTTAATAGGTCTTAACTACTGGTGACTGTAGCTGCCTTGTTAAACTCTTAGCTTTAACTCAGTGGTCGGCAAACTCATTAGTCAACAGAGCCAAATATCAACAGTAGAATTATTGAAATTTCTTTTGAGGGCCAAATTTTTTAAACAACTTCTTCTAACACAACTTCTTCAAAATAGACTTGCCCAGGCTGTGGTATTTTGTGGAAGAGCCACACTCAAGGGGCCAAAGAGCTGCATGTGGCTTGCGAGCCGCAGTTTGCAGGCCATGGCTTTAACTCATTAGCCAAAGACTTGCCTGAGGTGTGATTCCGCACCAGAAATTAGAGTACAGGCCCCGAGACTCCAGCATAGGGGCCACGATGGTTTTGTTCTCGGCAATCAGTAGACTGAGGGTCTGTGGGTTAGTCAGGAAGTTGTCCACATCTATGAACTAGGAAAAGGAAAAGATCAAGTCAGGTGAAAAGGTACTTGTCATGGTTCAGGAGCAACCAAACACCTCCGGAGAATCGCAGGGGCTGGCTCATGAGATATGGAACCAAGTTATCTATGTTCCCCTTGGGGGAACTCATTGCAACAGGATGGCTTTCATTCAGACTAAATACACTTAGTCTAACTTCTACACGTTCAGCTCTGCAAAAGGCACCAGCAATGAATTGGTGTTACCATGCTGGGGACCCACGCAACCAGGACCCAACCCACAATACTCAAAAGGGAAGTGGGAACTGTAGATGCTTAAGAAGTTGTCTTTCTAATGGAGAGAGGTTTATGGAGAACGAGGATGGAACACAATATTGATTCCTGATCATCAAATCCAGCATGTTCTGGACCAGCTCAAAGTTCTAACGGAAGTGATGGAACCTCTTCATGGAGAGAAATTCACCACCAGAGCCCAGAATCATGGGGAGCAGCTAGGAATCCAAGAAAGAGATGCCATTTCCCCAAGTCACTCAGGAGCGAAGGGGAATGGTGTTTCAGAGCTATTGTTTTGAATCTCTTGTTATATAATTAATTTAATTTCTCTGAAAAGTTATTAAGACTATATTATTTTTACCTACATCTCCCATAAGCTACAAACATTTGGGTGTCTATGCCTGTTCTATGAAAGAGAGTGAACAATTCAAGAGCTTGTTTGCTTACAGAAAATGCATGAGCGAAGTGGGTCTGAGATGAAATCCAGGTATCTCCATATTAAATTCCCAACATTTCCTCTGGGCCTTTATTAAAAAGTGGAGAAAGTAGGGCCTAAACATAAGACTGTTTTTACTTGATCCCACAGTCCTAGTTTTTGGACAACTGATCTGGACATATTCTAGATAACAGCTGCCAAGAAATCAAACATCTCATTTTACCAGAATGTAGTCTGACCATTTTTCCCTCGCAGTTCGAAGAGCTGCCTGTCGTAGTTTCATCACGTGGGCAAACCGGGAGGCAGGCCAGTGCTTTGGACCAATTTCATCAGGATAAGACCTAAAATAAGAATAAGTAGTAGTAGTAGTACCTTCAATTATTGCGTGCCTGTATATGCCAGGCACTATGTAGAAACATTTTTTTAAAATATTTTTTTATTAAATTATTATCTGTGTACATATTTTAACATTGCCCCCCCCCCATACATACTCTCCCTCCCCAGAGTTTTGTGTCCATTGGTTGTATGTAGAAACATTTCATCTACCGCTCACCTCGCTTGAGGTAGATACTATTATTGTTAGTATCATCCCTGCATACACATAAAGAAACTGGAGCAAGGAGAGAGCAAGTAACTTCTGCTTACCGCACACAAGAATCTTTATACGAAATAGTTCAGTGGGTTCTAAAGGGAACCCACGGAGTCCCTCCTAGCTAAGCAGAATTGTCTCTGAGTATCTGTGGTTACCAAAATCTGTGGGTACTCAAGTCCCTTCTATAAAATGGTGAAGCATTTGCATATAACCTGGACACATCCTCCTGTAAATTTTGAATCATCTCTAAAGATTATTTTTGAATACACAGAACAATATAAATGCTATGTAAATAGTTGTTATCCTTTGTTGTTTAGGGAATAATGACTAGAAAAAGTCTGTACATGATCAGTATAGAGACATTGTAGGTCTAACTACACAGTACACACACAGTAGTAATTTTTTCCTGAATACTTTTGATATACCATTAGTTGAACTGCAGATATGGAACTCACCAACTGTATTGTTAGTCTCCCCATTTCACAGAAGAGGAAATCGGTGTAGAGTGGTTTAAGCCATTTGCTTAGTGCTGTGTAGTTAATAAAGGGCACAGTCAGGATTTAAACCCAGGCATAACCCCAAAGCTCATGCTCCTAGATACTTCTTAGAATACATTTTGCCATCAGGTACATTTGAAAATTTGTAGCATAAAAATATGAATTTCCCAGGGGAAAGAAAGGTTTAATTTACTTGGGCAAGTCTCAGTGAAGGATGCCACAGAAGCCAACACAGGGATGTGTCCCGGGTGAAAGGAGCTCATGGAGTGGATTCATAGTCCTTGGGATCTCCATCAGCATCCTCAGAAAGGCCAGCCCCAGACTCTCGCATGGCCACATAGGCCGATGGGTGCTGTACCCTACAGGACCCTTCTGAAAACTCCAAATTGGCATGGGCATTGATATCGTCATAGTGGCCCAAACTGGCCACCACTTCAAGTTCTTAGAGCTGTGCTGGTAGTACATGAGCCTTGGTGAATGAAAAACCACAAAAACTTTACAAGTAGAATGAATAAAACTATGTATGCACAGGAATTCTCTGGGTTGACTTCCCCTATTATTGCTTCAATGAAAAGCAGTACAATTCCTGTTTTTCTGAATATATCACCCCCCTCCCAAACACCTCTCCTAATATTTTTCACACTGACCTTGGCATACAATATATTTAATCAGAAACTGGCTATAGAGAAAATTACCAGGATGCAAGGTAGGAACATAAAGTCTTTCAGGGCCATTCAAATGATGCCAAATTCCATTATAAGGGACTCCAAAAAGAATTTTGGAGTTTGTTCAAGAATTTTTATAGTGTTCCCATTTTGTAGTTAAATGTTGCTTGATATAAGGACCCAAAGCTGGGATTTGAGATATTTACATACATGTATACACAAATAAAAAAGGATTATATCCAGAGAGACTAGAAGGACAAACATTTGTTCTGGAATGGCACTTATAATACAAATTTGGCTTTCAGTAAATGACTTATCCTGGGCAAAAATTCAGGCAACTCAATTCATTCTACTTGTACAATTCCGTAAGCTGGAGTTGTAGTAGCCTTGGGAACATGTACAATAGTAATATATTTACTCATTCACTCATTTGTTCATCCAACAAGTTTTAAATCTGTGCCTGCCAAAAACTGCATTGAGGGTAATATAATTTGTATACTTTAGCCCCTGACAAAGAACTGGGAAACTTGGAAAAATGCATAGATTACATAGTTTATGTTCATTAAGTGTACAGTTGTGTCAAAAAGGATGATGGAGAAAATAAGCAACACACGTGTTGAGGGAGAGAGAGCTCTGTAACTGGAATGACTGGCAACAGCTTTGGGTAGGAGGTGAGATTTGGGATAAGAGTTGGTTATAAAGAAGGGTTTTCTAGGAGAACAAACCTGCACCAGCAAAAGCTTAGGGTTGGAAATAAAAGGAACATTCTAGATAAAGCAGGAATTTTTGGGGGGAGGGCGGGAATCCGGAAACGTAGGTGTATAGGTTTGAGAGTCACTAGAGTCTTTTTAACAGAAAAACTAACCCACATCATTAGTATTTTAGATAGATTGATTTGATAGCACGGTATGTAGAATGACTTGAAAATGGATGTACCTAAGTAATTGGTCTGGTTAAGATTAGAAATAACCCAAATGCCCATCAGTAAGAGATTGATTATGTGAATATGGTATTTCCATACAATGCATACTCTGCAGTCATAACGATAACAAAGAAGCTACTTAACTATAGAAAGGCTTACCAAGATATGGTAAGTGAAAAAGCAAGGTGTATATAAAAAGTATACAAAGTTTTCACCATGACCCCTCAAGTATAAAAGGTTTATACTCAAAATGTGAATAAATATTATCACTCTTTTAAAACATAGACCGCCATGGTGGTTTTCTGTGAACTCATGAGAACTGGAACTTGGCTGGGACCTGCTGGAGTAAAGAGGAAGGGAGAAAGATGAACATCGGCCAGAGGAAGAAACTTCCTAGAGATGCAGATGAAAAACAAAGAAAGGCCACAGGCGCCTCCAAGGCAAGAAGCCTGGATGACTGGAGAACTGGTTAAGGGAGGAAGGGTCCGTAGTGAGTTCACAGAATGTCCTCTTGCTACTTACTCAGGCTCACCCATGGGCCTCCATTCCACGTAGTGATAGAGCCTCTGGACATTTTTCAGCCACTCCCTGAGGATTTCTGTTGTGTTATCCACATTGTGGTCAGTGGCCACCCTGCACGAGAGAAAGCACAACAGAGGTCAGTTACACCATGCGAAGGAAGAGGAGGGGATCCAAAAGACCCCAGATTAAGTGACAGGAGAATGACCAGTTCAAAAAGCTGGACATACGAGAACAATCCCCACACAGTCCCGATGGAACAATACATTTCTAAGGAGAGAGATACCGCTTCAAATCACCCTGTGTCATTAGATCCTTAAACAAGGCTTGGCCGACAGCAGAGTAAGTGGTTGTACTAAAACAGTATATGCACGAAATGAATTAAGCTACAGTGAGTTCATTACTCTTCTTGGAAATCTTCCTATAGGCTTTAATTCTCATGTATCCAAGATATAAACTCTGCCTTTTAACTTCACGAACAATTACCCTTCATTTAAGCAGTAATTCAGCTGCATTTTCACTTCAAGTTCACTTGCAAGGCCACAACAAAATTTATAGCCAGTGCTTATTTAATCCCAAGCAGCAGAAGGGAAGGCCACAATAACAGTTTCCACAATAAAGTTCAAATCTAAGGTACCTTCACAGATCTATTTTGGATTAACTTCGCTTATTCAAAAAAGAGAACCATCAAAAGTCTTCAAATAATGCATGCAAAGTTTCTGTTTCTGTTCTACCTTGAAATGTGTGAACAAGTTGATCCACTTAATTAGTCTATTCAAAATAGCTTAACTAGTCTATTCAAACAAAAGTATTTTCATATTATATCACAAAGCAAACTCATACTGTGTATCAGATACACATCTAAAACAAAGTCAAGACTGGTAGAAAGTAAGAGATATACCAGTCTTGGAAAAGAAAGAGAGAAAGCAGGGTTTATAATCGTGACGTCAAATAATGTAGAATTTAGGTTAAAAAAATTAAGCATAATAATTATAATTTTATTTTTTTAAATATGTTTTATTGATATTTTACAGAGAGGAAGGGAGAGGGATAGCTAGAAACATCTATGAGAGAGAAACACCCCCCACTGGGGATGTGCCCACAACCAAGGTACATGCCCTTAACCAGAATCGAACCTGGGACCTTTCAGTAGCAGGCTGATGCTCTATCCACTGAGCCAAACCAGTTTTGGTGATAATTATAATTTTAAATGATATAATTCACATCAGAGATACAACAAATGTGGATATGTTTGTACCTTGATATAGTACAGGGGCTGGCAAAGATTTTTCTTTAAGAGCTACAACATAAATATTTAGGCTTGCAGGCCATATACTCTGTGCCAGCTACTTCCTCTGCCATTGTAGCAGGAGAGCAATCATAAACACACAAAAAGGAATGAGCATTCTTGTATGCCAACCAAAACTTTATTTATAAAAGCAGGCAGCTAGTCTGCAGGCTATAGTTTATGAAATCCTGATATAGTGGAAAGTATAGAAATTGCAAGGCATTCTCTTTCAGTGGAAGACAGTGCAAATGGGAATAAAGTTAATACACAGAGAGGATTTGTAGGAAACATTAAAGAGACTCTATTGTCTTTTCACACGCACATGGAACAGTCACAAAAATTGATCAACAATTATATGACAAAGAAATACGATAATATTGAAATAATATCAACAGCATTCTTTGGTCACAGTGCAATAAAACTAAAGATTAGCAATAAAATAAAAACCAAAAGCATTCCATTAAAAAAGTCCCTATTAAACAACTATTGAGTAAAATAATAAATACAAATAAATTTCAGAACTTATAAAAATGAATAATGAAAATACTATATATATAAAAATTTTGGGAGACAATTATGTGAAAATGGTAGCTTTATCTCCTTAACTCGATCTAAATAAAGAAGTTGAATTCCTACTCATAAAAGCTAGAGAAAGAACAAGAAGACAGACAAGCATAAAGAAATAAATAATAAAGATAAAGCAGGAAGTCACAAGACAGAAAACAGAAAAAGAATAGAAGTAAATAAACAAAAGTGCTGAAAAAATTTTTAAGGAAAAAAAAAAAATTAACAAAAGACAAGCACTAGTTAACCTAATCAAGAAACAGAAATAAGAAATGACAAGGATAGGGGATTGTGATTGATATGGAAGGACATTTTTAAATCATAAGCAATTACTTTGTACACATCAATGAAAACTAAAATTTAAAACTAGATATAATGGGAGATTTCCTAGGAAGATGCATGTTAGCACAACTGAATCCAGTAGAAATATACAACTTGAACCGAACAATTTCAATGAAGAAATAAAGACAGAAAAACAGCAATTCTAGGGCCAAATGGTTTCCCAAGGGAATTTTACCAGATATCTTAACAGACTAGATAACTCCAAAGCTATGTGGCTTGTTTTCCAGAGCATGGGGGTGGAGGTGGAGGATTGGGAGGGAATCCAAGTTCTTTTAATAAGTCAGGTACTATTGATATCTAAACCTAATGAAGATACCCCCACCACCACCACCACAACTATAGACCAATATGTTTTAATGAATATGCTGCAAAAATCCTAAATAAAGTATTTAGTAAACAGAATCCAGCATTATATTAAGGAAATATTATATAGCATGTCCTAAGATTGTTCAATGTAAAGAAAATTCATTAATATAATTCACTATACTAATAGACCTGAAGAAAAATCATATGATTATCTCTATAAATGCTTGAAAGATTTTTATCAAAATGGAGCATCTATCCCTGCTTTTTAAAAATCATACTGTATAATTTTATTGAGCAATGTCATCTCAATATATTAAATTTAAAATACCATACTAAATCAAATTTCAAATGAAAGGAGGAAGAGAGGGAGGGAGGGAGGAAAGGAGGGAAGAAAAGAGGAAAGGAAGAAGGAAGAAGGAAGAAAGACCAGGAAAGAAAGAATCATGGGAAGAAAGAGATGTCTGAGATTCATAAAAGGGATTAAAAGTGCTTAGATTTTACTGGCAATTCGGCGGGTTCCTCTCCTTCCGGGAGAGAAAGCCATGGGCATTATCAGCAGTGGTCATTCCCTGGGAGCAAGGCCTTGATAAGAGCAGATGAAGAGCCAATAAAGAGACGGCAATTTCAGTAAATAGAACTTAGTTCAACCCAATCCACAATGGTTTTCCTTCTTCCTACTTAAGCTTTGGGAGGTCACTGCAGCTCCAAAAGTAACAAATGAAAATCTTTAATAGCATATTCAGGAATGTTCAAGAAAAAAGATTTGTTAAGCAAAGCATAGTGGAACCCAATGCTACACAGGGGATAGATTTCTGTAAAACACCAAGTAACTTGAAACAGATATGGAATTCAAGTCACACGTAAGTCGTAAAGGATAAAAAAAAAATGGGATAAGAGGTGTGTGACTATATTTGGAAAATCTTATTTTGTAAGAAGGATATTTGAACTAAAGCCAGTCTTCCTAAAAACCAAGGCTAACGCATCTACTTCGAAGCCTCTCCTGGGAATCAGACTAGAACCAGCTCCTCTTTTCAGAACAAGGTCTGAGAGGGCGGAAGACCCACAGGCCTGCCTGGCATCCCACCAGCCGGAGTGGGAGAGCGGTGTGTGTGCGGCTGATGGTGCCGAGAGACATCGGGGGAGCCCCTTAGTCAAAGATGGGGTGATCCAAAGAGGTGAGAAAGTGGGAGAGAAAGCAGCATGGGAGAGGGCTCCAAGCTCCATCTGATTTTCAATTGGGCTGAGATGTGCAAGGCAGCGAGAGTCACATGCACTGTGACACGTGGCGACATGCCACTGATGTCCAGCGAAACAGCCATGAAGGGCACTGAGAAAGTCAGGCCAATGGTCTCCCAGTATGAAGGCTGACCAGGGAAATTCCTGGAACTGGGAAATCAGCTCTAACGCACGTTATGCTTCACTCACAAAATTATGAGCATGTGAAAACAAAACAAAAAATACCTTGACTTCAAGGTCAGCCAAATGTTAGGAGAATTCCATATGATTCCCAAATCACTTATCAGCAGTGTAGGAGCATTTATACAGCATCTCTTTCTTTCCTTGATTATTGTCTCTCCATTACCCGGGACTTACATGCTCTCTGCCCTCCGTACGCATGGATGCATTTCCTAAGCATTGGAACCAAGTTGGCCTCATAGTACGAAATTTATTTTCCTGGCATACATATTAGACAACTTCAAACTCTACGTATCCACTACTGACAAACCTTCTTCGATATTAGCTGCTTGGAGTAGGCAAAGGTAAGTGTGTCTAATTCAAAACAGAAGCGTAGATGTTAAAGACTCTTTTTATTGAGTTGAAAAATGTTCCTATATAGAACTTCCCGGAATGAGTAAGATTCCCTTTGTTCTCGGGCTTCTTGGGAAAAGAAGAGGCCTCCTGGCTGTGGCTAGAGGCCCATCCACATTGCTCTTTGATGTGCAGAGCCAGCCCCTGTCCCAGAGGAAGGGCAACGCTGGCCGCACCCGCCCACTGAGGAAGGCCTGCCCTCTGCCCTCCCCGCTCCCTGCCCTGCCGTCCCAGCAAAGGCAGATCAACCAAAACCCAGCAGACAGTTCTCACTGCTGCCTTGTATCCCTCTGACACAAATGTGTTTCTGTTCAAATACATAATCATGAAAGCATGCAAGACTCTGGTCCATTCAGAGAATTGGAGAGAGAGATAGCAGAGGCCCAGATGCGAACTCCCTGGAGGAAGCTCGAGGCTTCAGTTAAAGGCTCCGTTTCCAGCGCCCTGGAGAAGCATGCGGCCTCCCGGTATCTGTCCTGCTGCGAGCCTTCATGAGCACTGGGCGCAAAACACTGTGAGGCTGAGATGGATTTTTCCATCGAGCCAGGAAATTGGAGGACACGGAATATGTGAACTGCTCGCTCAGAAGCCCAGGCATCGCTTCCATCACCTGGAAGCTCCTTCCAGGCCCGTGGGAAGTGAGCGCTGTCTCAGGTCAGCCATCCTCCTCCCTGGCAGACCAGGAAGGGCACCGGGGAGGGAACAGGCATAGCTAAAGGATTCCCTGAAGGAAACAAATGATGGGAAGAGACATCGGCCACGGTGATCTGCAAGTGATTGCCAGTCCCAGTCAAACCAGAAACCC